AAAAAAAAAAAAAAAAAAAAAAAGCAGAGACGTGGAGGAAGGTGACGTATTTGTAGGGTTCAGAAGAGACTAGTCGGGAATCAGGAAGAGGGAACGGGAGCTGTAATAAACTGAGCCTGCCAAGCTGTGCCTCAGAGAAGGCGCAGGAGGAAGTCAGCCCCGCGGGGGACCGGCTGCATGAGTCACCCCAACACTCAGCAAGGCTGTGGGCTATACTTACCCCAGCTCCACAGCTTCCCTTCCGTGGTGATGAGGAGGCTGTGGGCAGCGCACGACCCCGAAACCACCGTCCGCACCCGGACCCCCGACAGGCACCCATATCTGTGGGGCCCCCACAAATTCTGACCCAGATTGCGGTAGGCAGCTGCAAAGAGAAGAACGTAGATCTGATACCTTGCATAGCAACAAGCAGGTGAAGAGCACCCCAAAATGTCCCTAGCCACCCTGGGTCCACTCCTCATGGTACAGCAGCAGGAGTCCTTGGGGGTGCCACCTGAGAAGTTAACGCCCCCCAACAAACTGCCCCCAAGCTGGTGCGGACCTAGGCAGTGGTCACGTGGACACGGACGTTCCACCTCCATCTGTGGCCTTGACCCATGGGAACCTCAGGCCCACGGAAACTAGTACTGAGCATGAGCCCCTGCAAGTGGCCAAAAGGCTGGGTGCTCGCCTTCCTGCCGCCCTGTGGGGCGGGGGGCCAGCCCAGGAAAGCTGGCAGTGGGCCTGGCTTCCCTCCACCTTCCCATCAGCGGTCTGCAGCCAGGAGGCGCTTTTGGATCCACTGAGCATCACCATCCTCCACAAAACCACCTGCCCTCCCTGCAGGTCTATCAGGCCCTTTGCAGAGGGGCCCCAGTGACACCTCTGCCGGCCAGCCAATCTCCCACCAGTTTGCTCCTTTCTCGGGGACCTTCGTGTTGGCCAGGTCGTGACCCCTGGCATTGGCCTATGTATTCATTCCCCAGAGAACCCCGCCCAGCCCCCTGCTTATTCTTCAAACCTCAGGTCAAGCACCCCCTCCTCTGGGAAGCCCTCCCTGCCACACTTCCCGTACCAGCGCCCGGTGAATCCTGTCAGCACTTCCCCTACTGAGCTCAGGCGCCTTCCCGCTCTACTGGCCACCGGGGCCTCACCGGCGCCTGGCACCCAGTAAGCACTCAGGAACGTTAGTGGGCGCGTGGGAGGGAAGAAATAGCTACCTCCTTCAAAGTCCCCCTTCACCCTATTAACGGATGGGGCATGGCCAAGTTTTTGCTGAGTATCTTCAATTTGGGACTCTTGAGGACAGAAACGTGACCACGTCTAGTGACTATCACGAAATGCTAGCTGCTGCCAAGTCAACTGTGTCAGGTTGATCCGGATATGGGAACGATTTCTCCATCAACGTCCTGCCTCCAAGGAAAAGTATTTGTGCAACTGTCCAGTGTCAAGCCCCACCCTGCCTGCGCCTCGCCAGCAGAGGGCGCCACGGTGTCCTCTCATTTAGTGACAAGGGGCAGGTCAGGCAAGGGAGGGCAGCCCCAAGCTTCCCCTGAAGACACTCCTCCACTATTAAAAGGAGGAACGAAAAACCAGCGATTTCCTGGGGAGGGGCAAATCAAAAATGCCAGCCTTCAGAGGTTACAGAAAAACTCTTGAAAAGACTCCCAGGGTCTGTTTATCGCAAAGGCAAAACCAATAGTAGCAAGGTACCAAAACCAATGTCATCTTTGTGAAGAAAAATGGTACCAGGGGACACCCTGGAGGTACAGGTGCCATAGCTGACCTAGCTGGGCTGAGGAACCCTGGCTGGCAGAGCGATCCAAGTCAAATGAAAGGGCCGGCGGCAGTCCTGGGCCCCTTGGCCACGCTGGTGGTCATGAACTCCTGTGGCCTGGTCCTATGCAGAAAGGGAGCACGAGCATGAATCACTGATTTTACAAGATCCGTGGCACTGTGCACCCAAGGGCTCTCCCATCCTCGCCGAGGGAAGGCACGCTTCAAGGATGGCGAGAAGCTGGGGAAGACTGGAGGGAGCGGGGGGGTCTTCCTTCCCTTCACGTTTGGCACCAGTGGGAAGACAAACCCTTGCCTCCCCTTTCTGTCTACTGGCAAGGTCGGGGAGGACTGAAAGATATTCAAAATATTTAAAATTTTTTTTAAGTTTCTAAAACTTCATTCAGAGGGAGAAAAACCAGGAAAGCAAAATTGGGAATGAAAGAAGACAAAAAGGACCTCTTAAATGAGCCCAACGAGGGCAAATACCTTCATCTAGAGCAGAGGTAGGGAACCTTTTTCCTGCCAAGGGCCATTTGGATATTTACAACATCACTCGTGGGCCATACAAAATTATCAACTTAAAAATTATCTATGAAAAAAGCTCCTAGATTTATTGAATTCTGAGTCCTGCCTGCGGATGCCTTGGCAGGGCCAGACCAAATGATTTCACAGGCTGTATGCAGATGTTCCCCACCCCTGATCTAGAGCGTGGGAGCAGTTTCTAACCCACAAGGCGGCTTCCCTACCTTCTGAGACTCCTCCTGCACCCACAGAAGACAACCCAGCTGTGCTGCCCGCTTCCCACTGAAATTTACTTCCCCTCTGTGGGCCCAGGTGTTGTAACTGCGAGTGGGCCACTCACGTGAAGACCAGCTTTGAGGAATGATGCCACAGGTGCCCAGGGCTGGCAGACTTAGGTCATCACACACCAGGAGGGGTTTCCTGGTGACACCAACAGCTGAGGGACATGGGCCCTAAGTCTGGGCACTTTCCAGAGCAGGAGGAAATAGCTGGGACTCGCTTTTAATTCAGCTAGACCCAGGCAAGCGCCAGGACTCCTGTGTTTTCATAGAATGAGATGATCTCCAGGTCGGAGGCACCAGGGAGTGTCAGGGTGCAAATATTTGCTCACTGGGCAATTCTGGAAAGGTCTTTGGGAATCTCTCCAAATAAAATCAAGAAGCTATAAAATGTGGCACTGTGCCAGCCACAATTCTCTGCGATGGGCCAGTTTTCTCCTTAGGAAAGACACCTAATTTTCTAAAAGCATTTGAGGACTACAGTTCCTTCTCAGGACTTCCCTGCTCCCCTCACTCCAGACTTTTAATCACTGTCAAACCAGCTCCTTCAACAACTTGGCAGCTTGCAAAGGAATGTGGACTCTTCTGAAATATCTAACAGTCTGACATGTGACAAATGTCTACGACGTTTTGACATCCCACAGGATCAGCCTCTTCATTTTAATAAAAATAAGTGACATGAGAAGGAAGATGGGGGAAAGGTGTCAATGTTTATTTGAAGCTACTATTTATATTTTTCTGTTTAAACTTAAGGAAATTTTTTTTTAAAAAGCAGAATTGTGAGGTGAGAGACTCGCACCAGACCACGGTTCAAATCCAGCTCCATCCCTAGAGTGGCTGTGTGGCCTCGGGAAAGTTACTTGGCCTCTCTGAACATTCTTGTAAATGAAGTGAATACCTACCTGGCGGATGGTCATCAAATTACATCGAACACCTAGTACTGAGGCCGCACGCAAGAAACAGGAACTGGTTCTCATACCTTGTTGCTTAGGCACTTCTTTTCGACCAATCAAGTCCCAGTTGGTTGCCCCAAAAATCAAAAGCTGCCCTTTGCACTTAGACCCTTCAAGTTTCTGCAGACACAGAGAGAGGGAAAAAGAATTAGCTTGCAATGCTGCTTCTAGCTTTCTAAGTCTGTCCAACAACAGCAGGAAACAAAAAAAAATACACTATCAATATCAACACTTCTGCCCAGGGGACTGAGGCCCAAGGTGCTCACCGCCTCGCCGGCCCACTTTAAGTGTGCTAATCCCAACCCTGCCCCAGTTACGACCAGGCTCATTTTTATCCTGATTTCTCTTCAAAATATCTTTTGCAAAACACTAAAATAGCCAAGTGACATCCCTTCCCTCCGCGCTGCAAGAGGCCCGTGTCACCCAGGGCATAACTGAACCAGCTGTCCTTGGGGCAAAGTCTACATTTTCCCACAAGTATGACGTTTCACACATGGACTTTAGCCTGAGGAGCCAGTGTCGTTTCTGCACAGTAATTACGCCGATAACTCCCCACTGTTCCTACTGTGCTGCCCCCGTGCCAGGAGCCGCTCCGGGGGAAGACGCCGCAGCACCGTGCCCAGCTTCTCCGCTGGATGGAAGACCCGGGGCAGCAGGGTGGGGCTGGCAGATCGCAGTCCCAGTCCCGGGGCCCTCCGGGGCTCACCCTCACTGCTGGCCCGTTAGCTGGGCATCAGCGGCGAGTGGAACGAGGGGCCGCCCAGGGCAGGCTGCACCAGGGAGCCAGTGATTCATCCACATAATACAGTCATTAGAGCCACACACTCAGGCTGTGCATGGGAGGATGTGCCTGCCACCTTTTAAGTCCCTGTCCAATTCTGGGTGGCACTCGTATTTCCAGCGCTTTGCTTTACTTCTGAAATGCCCAAATACACTTTTTAAAACAGATTGTTGTCAAAGATTCACTTCTGAGCTATCTACTCAGTCCCACCAGGCAAGGGAAGCTGTGACCTCCCCTTCTGCTCTCATCCTGTGTATCTCCCACACCCCCAACCCTCCACCACCGGGACAGAAAGAGAGGTTTCCTTCTCTTTACAGGATTGTTCTTGGAAGGCTTAGAGAAAAAAAAGGCCAAACAGCTCTGGATCCAGTCATTCTAACCTCTACGCGGTGACTGCCCTAGAGGGACGGTTTTGGCAACTCGGTGCATCACTTGTAAGATGAACACACCTTCACCATCGATGATTCGTCTCTTAGGGACCTCTGTGTGACCCTAACCTGCCGTTGCAGGCACCCCACAGTACAGGTCTCGTCATGCTTGCCTGCTTGGCCACGTTTCCGTGGCTGGAAGACAGTCTGTCTACAGGACACCTCTGGCAGTCAGCATGCGATGGGGGGGACAAACAGCCAGGGATGGAGACTGACTTGGCTGCATTTAAATAATTTAGAGAAAGGCCTTAATCGGAAGATAGTCCATCCCTGCAGAACCCAGACTCGAATTACTTGAACGGGAGCCTAGTTTCCCCTGGTTATCTCTCCCCTTCTTTGTTTAAGTGGCGGGCCTGGCTGGAACATCCTACAGGTCTACTGCGGATGAATGGCAGCCAGTGGGTTCTGTCGAGTTCCCCGCAGAAGGAGCAGCCCTGGGTCTCTGCAAGGTCGCTGACCTGCTCGCCACTATTCCTCAGGTCAGCATGGAGGGGGCAGCAGACATGGGAAGGCACTAAGGCACCGTGGGGAGAGGCGCCAGGCCAGAGAACTCGGGAAAGGGGCTCTGTAATTTGGCACAGCACCTCAGGCCTGGCAGTCCCCCCTCCCCCACTCCCAAGCGGGGAGAGGGCTCCAGGGTGCCGTGGGCAGCACTCACTGTTGACCACTTGACACCGAGATGCAGTTATTGCAGCAAGAGTCCACCAGTGAGGTCGGCTGGTGCAGAACCAGCAGCTCCATCACTGCCAGAACTTGCTGTAAATGCCCTGCGCAGGAGCCGTCTCCTCTGTGACCTGGAGATGCCAGCATCTGCATCAGTGGTCAAGAGGTCGTGGACACCGGCCCCATCGAGCCAGCTAAGCATTTACACAAAAATCCAACCTTCCTGACACAGATGTTTCTAAACAACCTTGGAAAACTGAGTCTACCGAGGTGACAGTGGTCTCATTCCCACTAAGGGCATTAAGTGTTATCCGATTCAGGTTTTTATGTCATGGGCCTTAGCTCCTCACCCGTCAGATGGAGGGAGTTGGCGCTTTCAGTGCTATTACCGATAGTTGTTTGCCGCAGACTATTTACTTTATTTCTCTATAATTTAATTCTTCCCTCTACCTTCCATGAAATTAAAAAAACACCTCTTAAATCACAGCCCATGTCCCTCTTTGTCAGAGAGTTGCAGGGGGCCAAGGCAGGACAGACCCTGGGTGCCCGGGGGCTCCATCCAGAGACCCTCCCACGTGGAACCCAGCCTTCACAGATGGGCCAAGAGACTCTTTCGGATGAACTCACTGTCTGTGATATTGCATGTGCCTAAAGGTGAGAGAAGCTGGGAAATCTCTCCAACAGGATGAGTGAGTTTCACTTCACCTTGCTGCCCCCTCCAACCCCGGGCACGTAAGCTGGGCAGAGATAAACAGCCCCAGCAGAAAGATGCACTGAGCTTCTTCAATCAACAAAATGGGGTTTCTGGTCCAAAGCAAGTTTTGAATTATTGCCAAAGTGCAAGGAGCATGTTTATGAGACCGAGAGTCAACCTTTAACATATATCCGTTTAGACGACTGCTGCTCTCGGTGGAGGGAAGACCGTTCAGAGAAATGCCAGCAACAACAAATTCCCTAATGGGCTTTCAACTCAGACTTTAAGCTTGGTTTCCAGTTGTATTTATTTGGTCCTTTCAGATGGGAGATTTGTCTCAGGGTCCACAAAACCTCAGCAACCTAACACTGGAAAAACTGCAAAGACCTGGACAGCTTGTGACATTCATCTATTTTCTAGGATTGAGCCCAGGCTGCTTTATCTACAAGGTTGTTAAGTTCATAGGGAATTCAGGCTGCGTCAACCCCAGGCCATCATAACATGCTCACATATGACATAATTACCTATAAACCCAAGGACCTTGGACAGACCATTTTCTGAGACTGAAATAAGAACGTTTTATAAAAATGCACACTCTTTACTTAAGGCAGCTTTGCCCCTCAACCATACAAGTACCTCCGGTTCCTCTTTCACAAGCCCAACGTCTGCAGCTTTGAGTTAACTGAAGGCAACTCGATTTCAGACCAACTCCTGAAGCTGCTCTCAAACAAACCTCCTTCAAGCGGCCCTGAACAGTGGCGAGGCTGGCAAATTTCAGTAAAAGCCTCTTCCTGAGACATGCTAGGGACTGCTGTTGGCCTGTGGCAGCAGACAGGATCCCCAGGACTGCTTAACAAGCAGAGACCTTGTGTTTCCTTTGGAGTCCAGGAACCTGGGGTGAGGGATACTGAGCAGGAGGTCCACGCAGGGCAGCATGGCCCTGGCCTTGATCCTGGCCAAAACTCAATGGATGCTAATAAAAACCTAAAACTTGGGGTATGCACTTTCCATGAGGCATAAAAAAGCATTTGTTGAGCCCTCAGTATCCTGAGCCTAGGATGGTGTGCTGACCAGTGCAAAGGAAACTGCTTAGCAGAACCTTTGTGTTTTAAGGGGGTAGGGGAAGGAATGTATACACATGGATATATACGTATGTATACATCTCTCAGGAACTTCAAAGATAGGAGATGTAAATGTAAAACAATCCTAAACTACAACGGACAGCTGTGTCTTCCAGTCAGACTAATCTCAGGGCCATTCCCATCAGACAGGCAGCTGTGCACATGCTGGTGGGGAGCCTGGAGTCCCTTCGCACTCTCTCCATGTAGTCTTCTTGGGTGAATCCCAGCATCGGGTAAGAATCTTACTTCCTGACAACAAAACTCATTGCTCGAATAGGCTGTCAACTCGTGGGAGAGAGAACATAGCAGCGGCAGAGCCCACCTGCCCTTTCTTTTCAGTTCTCTCCTCCCATAGTGACTGGACGGCAAATGTCTGGAGCCTCACAGAGAGGATTAGGCTGGTCAAAGGCAAACAGCTCCCGTATTCAGTTTCTCAAGACTGGGGCCATTTCCCTGGCACCAGTCTAGTACCCACCCTAGGTAAGACATCTTAGAACTTGGGCTCCCCTTCCCTTCCCGCTCCACCATCTAAGGTGCTGACTCTTTGACTGGGAGGGCAGTCACCCAGGATTTTCACAGGAACAATGTGCAGGGGTGTGAGGATGATGTCAGGAAACACCTGGGCCCATAGGGACACCCAGCCCCATGTGATCCTGGCCTGGGCCCTTAAAACTCTGTGCCCCAGTTTTCTCATCTATAAAGCGGATTATTTTTAACCATTTAAACATTGCCGTTGCTTCTCTGGAGGAAGGCGCAGGGATGCTGTTAACCCTTACCCACCCTTCAGGGAGAGGACAGGACCTCCCCAGATGCCAGGTTCTAGAGGCGACGTGGAAGTTCTTGCTCTCTTGGCATTTACCTGAGACTCTGATGGAAGCTCTGACCCTCTCCTAAACAGTCACCTCACACTAAACTCGTAGGTTTTAAGCGTCGCAGAACCCAGGTTAAGAGCTCTGGCTCTGCAGGGTTTTGCAGGCACGTAAGTTGAGATGGTCTCGATCTTAAGATTTTAAAGCCCGGCTCTAATGAGCAAACTTAAGCCCGCCCCGGAACACGGGAGATGCTTCTTGCAGGGGGTCGGGGAGAGCGCTACAGAGCCACCACCCAGCACCCGCGCCTTCGGACCCCAAGGCACCAACAAAGCCCCAACCCCTCTCAGCCAGGGGCTTCCCGACCTCCAGGGGGAGGGCTCTCCGGAGCATGCGCCCTCGCACCCCGCCCCGGCGCCGGCCGCCCCCATCTCCCCGGCGGCGAGAGACAGTGCAGGGCCGTAAGGGGCATGC